TGCTCCCCGCTCTGTCTCTGGTGAATCCTCTCACCCTCCCGCATCTCTGGCCTGTACCCCAGTTCTGTATGAATAAATAAATAAATCTTTAAAAAAATAAATAAATACCTATCCACATCTCTTGTGATTTGTAGGGATTGTTACATATATTCCAGATGATATCCCTTGATCACTTAAGCATGTTGCATTTCCCGTTCTATAGTTTGCCTTTTCATGGTTGTATTTTAGATCTTGTAACTTTTATAGATCTTTCCTTTATGAGTTGTGCTTTTCATGTCTTATTGTAGAATTCTTTCCCTATCCCAAGCCTATGAAAACATTTTCCTATATATTTTTTTAGACACTTTACTGGGTTACCCTTCACATTAGATTGATAATTTAATTTACCTGTCACTGATTTTGTGCATAGTAAGAGTTTAGGTGTTAAATGCTATTTTCACACCTCCCCCATATAAATAGCCAGTAACCCATCTACATTTGTTTGAAAAGATCATTCTCTCCCTACTACTTCCCAGTAACATCTTTGTCATAAATAAACTTTGTCAGTTGTCTATAAATATTTGGATTCTTTTTTTAAAAAGATTTATTTATTTATGGTTATAGAACTGAGGTACAGGCCAGAGGTGTGGTGGGTGAGAGGATTCACCAAAGACAGAGTGGGGAGCAGAACAGGCAGATTGATGAATACACTGCTGAGAATAGCAGTGGATGGGTCAAGAGAAATCTGCCACACCATGTGGGTCAGCTCCATGGCAGGGGATCAAACTTGTGCTGCAGTGGCTTTAGAGAGCTTTATAATGTGAAGTTTTAACCCATTGCACCACCAGGGAGAGTCCCAATATTTGTATTCTTTTTAATTTTACTGAATTATATGCCTATTGTTGTGTTAATACCACATTGCCTTACATTCTCTGTCACTTAATGGAAAAGTTTTCCCTGTATTAAGACATCATGATGAAAGGGAGCCCAACCAGAAGCATCCCTGTATTACATATTCATCACCTGGTGGCTGGCACTTTAGAATAAAGGAATGTACAATTGCAGGGACTGTTGACTTTTGAGGACGTGGCTGTGGATTTCACTGAGGAAGAGTGGCAGTACCTGAACTCTTCACAGAAGACTCTGTATAGAAGTGTGATGCTGGAGACCTATAGCAACCTGATCTCTGTGGGTAAGCTTGGCTTTCTCAAATAATTTGTTGTTTATTTTTTGTGTCTAGTAGAGATCCTTTCCTTTGTCAGTTTTGAAACTTGAAAGAGTTTTGAACTACTTGAAAGTTGAACACCTTGAGTTGCAAGGAACAAAATTCCTTTTCCCCCTTTCCTCTCCTTACAAGGTGTTTGTGACTCAAAACCCAGGTGAAATGGTTTGGCTTTACCATTATATCAAACAGGATGAATGTGTAGCCCCAAGCTCCAACTTTCTCTTTTATCAAATGCTCTGAAGACCAAGGAGATTTCACTGTCATTTCTCATTAGTGGTGCAGCAGGTCACCAAACCAGACCTCATCCTCAATTTGGAGGTAGAAGAACCATGCCCAGCAGAAGGAAGGACCCCAACTTGGAGCTTTCCAGGTAAGTGGGGTTGACACAAACTGTGGGAACATGAGCTCCAGTTTGTCAGGAGTGAGGACCTCTGAAGGTCTTTAGGAATATCTTGGGGAACGCTTTGGCTCTTTGCGGTTGTTGGAGGATAGGCACATGAACACCTCAGAAATCAGACTAACACTTCCCGTCAGAACTTGTGCACAGATTCTTGTGCATCACCCCGTGCATAAGTGTCTTGGAAATGCCAGTCCCTGCCCCAAGCCTTGCCATAGTTACCATGCTCACTTCTCTTGTCTCACCTCAAGCCTGGGCCCACATGAGTCACAAGCGTAGGTGTCAGTACTCTGGTTCCAGATTGGATTACCTGACTCCCTTCAGCTAGATGTTTGGTTTTTATGGAAAGATTGCTCAACTTCATTAATATAGATAAATACAAATTTAAATCACCCACCAGTTATACAAAGACTAAAAATTCTGACATGTACAGACAGGCAGCAAAGAGACTTTTCACACAGTAAAAGTACAAGTGTTCTTGGTACAGCCGCAGCGTAAGTTTACCTTCTCTAGAAAAGTTGAAAACATGCAGAGTCTATGATCAGACATACCAATCACAGAGAACAGCTTAGATATTTCTGTCAGATTTGCTCTCCTAAAACATCTTGATTATCTCTTTTTTAACTTTTTTTTTAAATTTTATATATATTTTACATCATTCTGTATTTTGTACATTTTTTCATCTCAGCTGTAATCCCCATGGATTTCCCATCACCACTTCACCCATATGCCATCACCATAGTCCTGTGTGCTCTTCCCACCCCCATTTTGATCCTGCTCCCCTCTCTACCCCAGTAGAATGTCTCTGGTTTATAGTTGTTAGTTGATGTAGTTTTTTACCTTATTACAATTACTGTGTGTGTGTGTGTGTGTGTTGTGTATTCCTGATCCCTTAAGCTTCTGCTATGAGTGAAACCATCTGGTACTTTTCTTTTTCTTTCTGGCTTATTTCATTAAGCATGATCTTTTCCAGCTCCATCCATGTTGCAGCAAATGGCATGAGTTTATCTTTTTTGATTGCTGAGTAATGTTCCAGTGTGTGTGTGTGTGTGTGTGTGTGTGTGTGTGTGTATACACACAATGAAAGATGTGGTATTGATTAGCTCTTTTTAAAAATAGCTTTAACATTGAGGCATGAAGCTTTACTCCTAACATTATATGGTATTGTAAACCATTGGTGAATCAATAAAATTTTGTTGGAAAAATAGCTTTGAGGTATAACATTTTCTAGATTACTCTTTCTAAATTATACAAATTCACTGATGTTTTGTATGCTTACAGTTAGGTAATCATCACCTTACTCTAATTCTAGAATATTTTCATCACCCCAAAAAGAATCCCTATTCCTTATCAGTCACTCTCTATTCCCTCCTCCTTCCAGCAACCACTGACCTACTTTCTGTCTCTATATTTTTACCTATTCTGGACATTTAAATTTTATGGAACCATACAAAATGTTGTCTTTTATATCTGGTTTCTTTTTCTTGGCATAATATCTTCGGAGATGAGTCCATATTGTAACTATCAGTGTTTCATTCCTTTTTATGGCAGAATGATATCCATTGTATGCATGGACCACATCTTATCTATCACCTATTAATGGATATTTAGGTTATTTCCACCTTTTGGCTATTAGATAGAATGCTGCTGTGAACATTGTCTAGAAGTTATTGTGGCAATGTATTTTTTCATCAAGTACATAGGTGTTGAACTGTTGGAGCATGTGATAATTGTATGTTTCACATTTTTGTGTAATTGCCAAACCGTGTAGCAATCCTGTTCCTCAAAAAATTCACCCAGTAGTGCATGGGTTTATCCTTTTTGATTACTGAGTAATATTCTATTTGTAAATATACTATGTCTTCTTGATCCAGCATCTGGGTTGCTTCTGTAGCTTATCTGTTGTAAATTGTGCTACAGTAAACACAGGGTTGCAGGTGTCCTTATGAGATAATGTTTTCGTGTTATTTGGGTAGATTCTTAGGAATAGAATTGCTGGATCATATGGAAGCTCTATTGTTAGTAGTTTGAGGAACCACCACACAGCTCTGGGAGGGATTACAGTCAGCAAAATAAGCCAGAAAGAAAAAGAAAAATATCAAATGGTCTCATTAATAGGAGGAATGTAGAGAAAACAAAAAAGGAATCAGAAAAATGTAACTATAATAAAGTAAAAATCAAATTATCAGGCAACTATAAATCAGAGACATTCTGTAGAGGAGGGGGAGAGAGAAGGACTAAGACAGGAGTGGGAAGAGCACAAGGGACAGTGGTGATGGTGCACAGTGAATTGGTGGTGGGAATTTCACAGGGAAACCATGCAGTGTACAAAAATGAAGGATAATATAATGAATATATTAAAAAATAAAACAAAACAAAAATTTACCCAATAATTTTATGACATTCACTGATGAGTCTTGCCTGAACCAGTCATAAGATGGTTGAAAAAATAGTGGATTTTCTGTCATTCTTTCTATAAGTTGGCACCCTTCTGTAAAGAATGTATCGCTACCCAATCTTGGTTAATTATGTTATCAGTGTGGACTCATAATTTTTATTTTCTAGTATGTTATAATCCATCACTGTCTACTATCATTATTCATTGTGATTTTTAAATTGCTTGATTTTGCTAGCAGGTATCCCTTTGGGCTGATTCTTTTGACATGTCCCCATCAGTCATTAAACACTTTCTATCACAAATATATGTTCAAACAGTACCTTCCCTATTTCAGACCTGGAATAAGCAATTTCTGAAGAGATCTGTGATCTCTCTAGTGGGGAATGATAGAAATCCTGGGCATGTTCATAGCTATTTGGATTCCTGTCTCCAGATGATTCCCTTCCATCTTTTTTCCCTTGTATTTTTTTCAGGTAGCTGGGTTATTTGTCCTATAGTTTCCCATGTTCTGAGTTTTGCTGCTAAGTACTCATGGTGGCATTTAATATATCCCTCTGTCCCTGTTGGAAATTAGCAGTTAGATCTTAAATCTTGATAATATTCAGGATTCATTTTTTTTTTCTTATAGCAAGATTACTTCTAGCTGGTGTAACATACTTCATCAGGAGGCATGTTATGTGTGGCTATCTCTTTTCTGTGTTTTGAGTCATCAGTGATTTTTGCTTAGATCTATTAATTCATTAGAGTTTACAAAATGGTGATGTTCTAACTCTAGCATTCCTTCTTTGTTGACTAGCTTAAATGCTTACATAAAGAAGGACTGCCCTCCTTGGTGAATTGCATATTGTACACAATAGGTATATAGTGTACATAATAGTTACATGTGTTTTTCCATTTATTTACCAGTTTTCTAAATAATGAATTGGCTTTGTAGCAAAAGTGACTACTAAGTAAGTCCTTTTTTGAGTATCACTTATGGACTTACAATTTAAACACTTGCATCTTAGACTATTGCCTTTTCCTTATTATGAATCAAATTGTTCCATCTCTGGCCGGTGGAAGACCCTTCAAATTAACTCCTGAGTATTTGGTAGCTTCCTGCTTTTGGGTATTATAAGATAGCCCAAGTTCATTTATTTATTTCCCATCTCTGATGTGGAATCAGTCATTTCTCCAATGAGCACTAGCTCTTTTCTGTGATGGGTAGCTTGAGACTGTGATGTGGCTATTAAGGAATTTCTAGGCCTTTTCATTTGACATAATAAGCATTATGTAGAATTTTTAAAGAAAATATATAATGTATTCAAATTGATATTTCCAAATCAAATTCTTGACTAAAAAGTTTTTAATTTATTGATATTACAAGTGATGGTAATATTATTAGTATTCTGGGACTGCTGAACATGTACTGTGGCCTGAATCCATGGAGGTAGTCATACTGGTACCATTGAGAATCAAGATTTTTCAACATCATTGTTAAGAAATTCCAATGAAAGGGTATTTATTATTAAGAAATCTTTTTTTTTTATTACAAAGTTTATTTTTACATCATTTTGCACATTTTTTTTTCCATCTCGATTGTAATCCCCGCGGGTTTCCCATCA